AACTAATATGATGGATGACAAAAGAAGTACTTAAACAGAGCTCATGAAGAACCTATGACTAAACAGTACTAAGTACTGACGACAGAACGTGAAATTAATCACTGTTATACCTACTTTAGTCGTTTATAGGTTTTAATACGCATCTGTTCATTTAGGTAGTTACCCAAATGAATATAGGTACAGTCGTATTATTAACTCTCACACAAATGTTACATACGGAGCGAGAAACCACGTTATCCCAACTAATATTATAAATGCGAAAGTAACTCTGTCTGTCTGTCTGTCTGTCTGTCTGTCTGTCTGTCTGTCTGTTACGCTTTCCCGCTTAAACCTCGCAACCGATTTTGATGAAATTTGGCATAGAGATAGTTTGAGTCCCGGGAAAGAACATAGGATAGTTTTTATCCCGGTTTTTGAAACAGGGACGCGCGCGATAAGGTTTTTCTGTGACAGACAAAATTCCACGCGGGCGAAGCCGCGGGCGGAAAGCTAGTTGATAATAAACGATTTGTCAGTTTTGTCATTGTCTGCTGTTAAAAAGTCATATAAACAGACGACAACACATAAAGCTAAACTCTGTGGCATCTCATGTTCTTGAGGTAGATGCTATTTTGCTACGAAGTTATTTACGTTATTATTTTTTGTCTACTATACCTACTACATGTAAAAGAGTGTGAAAAAATGGCTGGCTGGCAAAACATATTCTTCAATGCCTTTGTTAAGAATGCTAATATTGAAGGAATTTGCAGCTGGGAAAATAGTACGTAGATGTATGATATCATACATTGACTAATTAAGTTATGAATTACATTATTATACCTACTTAATAACATCAAGGAAAAATTCAATTTCAAGAAATCAGGTTCAATTCCCGCCTTAGGCAGTTCGATTTTTTCAAGTTATTTATAATTTTCAAATCAAGGAAAAAGTTATGAAGAACTTCACGTTTTTCAGATATAAAAATGATTTGGTTGTATAACTTGATCGTAAATAAATTAATTGCGAAATTAGATTTTCTAAGTTCATAAGTGCCACTAGTGGTCTAAATTGAATAAAATATTTTTGATTTTGATTTTTGATTCTATTGAATGGTATGTTCAAAAACACACCAAAATGTCCTGATATAAAGGAAGAAACCTTGATTGGTTGAACCATCTTACTATAACAAAAGTTAAAAGTCTTTCAAACTTCATACAAAAACCCCAGTTAAAGTTATAGTTACGGTTAAAATTAAGTTAAGGTGATGAAACTCAGCCTTTAGAATATTTTTGACGTTATATCAAGTTTTGAATATTGTTTCGTTTGGGTATGAATTATGACCACTAAAGCGATAACTAAGTTGGTATGTACAGACAATCTGGCTGTGGTTTCCCAGCCGATAAGCACAGCGGTCGTAAGAAACAGTGGGCGTATTTGGGTTATCATTCAAAAACAATAACATAAGTAGATACTTCGAATAATGTAGGTATGTCTCAAACAGACATTAATTGAAAAATTCGCATTCACTTGTCATACTTGACCCAGGACCTACGGCGATTACACTCACTACTACGGATGACGCTAACTCACAGCGTAAAATTCACTTGACGTAAACGACGACAACCCTGAGAATCCATAGCTTAATGGAAAACTCAAAACTAATTCATCATAACAAATGTTACATTTCTCCAGCTGGAAGTAGAATGTCATTTCCTCAATTTTCCTCTATGGTTGACGATTCTGGGCGTTTGCTTCAGCACTTTCTATCGGGTGAGATACACACCAAGAACTGCCGATTAGAAAACTGTACCTACTCACTATGTCAACTATAAGGCACGTATTTACGCCCGTATTCACTAATGCTGCGTTTACGCTATGCGGAAATTAGCCGAGTCAAGTCAAAAAAACAGAGGAGTGGGGATGAAATTCATTCATAATTCATCCCCACTCCACTGTTTTTTTGACTTGACTTGGCTAATTTCCGCGCAGTGTAAACGCAGCATAACGATGCTTACTTAGTGAAGCAGCAAATTGAACACACAGCGTTGAATAGAGCTCTGTGATTNTCTAAGAATTATCTATTTTGACACTTAAACGTTTTGAAAACTTAAAATAATTTATGGAAAATTTCAATATCGGAATACGATATTGGCTTCAGTTCCGGAATTGAAATATCGGAAAAAATTTATCCGAAATTCCGGAGTTACGAAATTCCGGAATTCCGGTATTCAAGCCCTAGTGTCACCCTGTGCGTCCACGCGCACTGTAATGTTTGTGAATACGGGCGTTAGTGTCACTATACCTACTCAGCCCGGTAAGCAATTTTAGCTTGAAAATAGGTTATCTTTACGGTTATCAGATTCGCTCGAGTGCTAACCCATTGGGACACGAATCCATCAACCGACCTGACCTAATCAAACTAATATTACTCGCTGTGCCCGCGACTTCGTATGCGTGAAAATAGTGTGAATAATAATTCCCATTTTTGCAACATTTTTCTTTACTCCTCCGCCTTTATTGACTGTTGGGTGTTGTTAATAGCCTAAAGCCTTCCTCGATAAATGGGCTATCCAACACAAAAATATTTTTTGAAATCGGACCAATGGTTCCTGAGATTAGCGCGTTCAAACAAACAAACTCTTCAGCTTTATAATATTACTAGCTTTCCGCCCGCGGCTTCGCCCGCGTGGAATTTTGTCTGTCACAGAAAAACTTTATCGCGCGCGTCCCTGTTTCAAAAACCGGGATAAAAACTATCCTATGTTCTTTCCCGGGACTCAAACTATCTCTATGCCAAATTTCATCAAAATCGGTTGCGAGGTTTAAGCGGGAAAGCGTAACAGACAGACAGACAGACAGAGTTATTTTCGCATTTATAATATTAGTTGGGACAAAATAGTATTAGTTTAAATTACCATTAGCTTATTTCCTACTATGACAGCTCAAAAGTGAAAAGGGTTTGCAATATCATATGTCGTTGAGCATCACACTCGACCTCACGTCGTATAATATTCGGAATAATCTCAAATTCACTCGTAATATCAACGAAGTTTATGCTAATGCACTATTGTAATCCTATATAAATGCGCATAATATAATAATACGACATAAAAGTATTTTTACTGTTTTTGATGTTTCAGTCAACAGGCAAAAGGTACCTATAAAGTATTACTTAGAAAATGATTTTCAAAGAATATCCTGTGGGTCTAGACAAGTAGTACTTTTTCATCGAATTGAAAATCCAAAGGCTTTTCGACCATCTTTCGACATAAAAACTGTCATATTTTGCATTATGTCTAGGGGGGCTGATCCCTACTCAATTTATTTTTTACCTTTGTCGTCAATTCAGTTATTATTTTCAGTTGATCGTGATTCAAGCATGATCTCTCATTTTATATGAACACTGGACAGGGAAGTTTGGTCAATATAAATATGGCGTGACTTTTATCACAGTGTATAACATTGCTATCTAACACTGTTATACTTTTATGTTGAAATAAATTAATTCTGTGTTTTCCTGACTGAAAATAACACACTAACACGAATCTACGCGTAAGATTGGATTGTATTGAAATATTTTTATGTAAATATTGGCAATTGTCCAACGAAATGTTTAGATTGAACACTTGTGTTACTGGGCATTTGATGGCGTTATCTAACCAATAATTTATAAAAAAGAAACTTTTTCTTAATTTTAAAGGTGCCCTTAGAACGGTTTAGATACGGATGGCAGAAAACTTTTAAATTAATCAAACACCTATTCGATTGAGAAATTGTGTACTGTGTGCCTACCATGAGTTTACGTTAGGAGTGCTCGCTAGCGAGTACCTACGTCAAAAAAATCTATGATTTTATTTCTTGAAAGTAGCCGATGGGGCGCTGCGCAATATGTCATACATTTAATGTCATTTTCTTACGCAGTCGCTAGCGAACACACCTAATAACGTAAACTCATGGTAAACACACTGGTTGAGTTAGGTAAGGACACTTACTCAGTATTTTTGAAACCAATCCACTGGAGCTATGAGCCGAAGACAAAAAAGAAATTGTATTACTTTTTATACAGGGTGTTTGGTAAATGGGTATATGCATATAACATGCCCATGCTAACATATGCATATAAATGGTATGGTGAAGTCAGAAAATTGATATCATCATTTTAATTATTTTAATTTTCAGATAAATCTGATTTTATAAATTTTATTTTGTATGAACATTTAAAAAATTAAAATGATGATATGAAATTTCTGACTTCACCATACCATTTATATGCATATGTTAACATGGGCTAGTGTCGGCTCATATACCCATTTACCTAACACCCTGTATAGACCAAAGTTCTCCAAATTGCATACTACTAAAGAATAAAGGCGTAACACCGTCCCACACAATCGGTTGTACGAGTAGTACCTATGTGATATCCCTTTGTGGAAGGNTTGGGCGGTTTTTTAGGCGGTTTCTGACAATGTCCTTTAAGGCAATCACGGTCAAGTCCCATTATAATAGAAGGGATGGGTCACCTTATTTGGCTTAGGTATCGTTCGAAAACGCTCATTATTATGAATAGGATCTTATTATGTTTGCGATGCCTGATGACGCAGATGCGCACACTGACAGGAAAAAAACTGTTTTGTGAGACAGCTAGGGGTTATTATAAAAAGTTAAGCGCGCGTTGACACGTTTAAAACCATCGCACTATAACTTTAACAAACGTCAATGTCTGTCAAACTTCATACAAAAAATCACCGGTTATGGTTATAGTAACGGATAAAGAAAGGTAGTACCTAGCGACTCAGCCTTATCTAATGTTAATTTTAATGTGTTCAACGCGCGTTTAACTTATACATAGTAATAACTCTGGTAGAGTCAAATAACACGCATTAATTCAGTCGAAAAAACAACAACAGTGTTTATTTTATATCACACATTGGCCATACATTTTTAAAATTAATACTAAGTACATAATAAGAAATAGTAAAGATCTTTTCAATAATCAGATGAAAACAATCTGTGATGTTGTAAAAGTCTGATCACCGAATCTAAAACTAATATAGAAGTTACAAACATGTTTATCGGATTAATGTAGTTTTTTTTAAACCCACTCTGTGGTTTTAGTTATATTTTAATTGAGGGCAATTTTGAGTCGTAGATAAAATAATAATAAGAGACATAACAATAAACTTACACTACACAATCATTCTCAAATCTAAGGCTGGGTTGCACCATCTTACTTTAACTTTGACAAACGTCAAAAAGCTGTCAATTGTCATACAAAACACACCGGTTTTCGTTATAGTTACGGTTAAAGTTAGGTGATGCAACTCAGCCTTAGAATTGAGATACAAATGCATCATTGAGGAATAATAAACATAAAGTAGATCTTAATAAAATTGGACGTTCGTTTTCACAGTTTAAGATATTGATAGTGAAATACATAAATATGCTTCCTTTTTCCCGCGACCTTCACCAGATCGTCGGTCCACCTAGTGAGAGGCCTGCCCAATCTGCCCATTCGTTATTTACAACAATTTTGTGGTAGTGGTGACTACAGTCAGCAAGTGCCACAGTTCAGAGCTGTCGTTATATTGTTTAATTTAAGATTATCAAATTAACAATCAAATTCTGTTTTCCTCAATCGCGACTTTTTTGTCGTCAAATTTACATTAGGACGTATAATTTATAAAATACGAATGATGAGTTTGATCAACTGGAGTTGCCTGAAAAAGCTGCAAGGTTTACCAACGCCAGGCTAGCTAGTAAAGTGCCGTCTATTTATACTTATTAGGTACTTTCTGATTTTTTATATCAGTGTACACAAAGGTAGATGACCTTGGTAAACTAGATACTTATTCTGATTTACTGAATAATTTTCCATGCATTTTAATTTTTTAGAGAAATTATTTTGTTCCATTCTACATTATTTTTTAGTGTTAGGTTTTCTACAGTGTATTAAAGTCGGATGTATGTATAGGGTATCCAGTAATAACCGTAAATTGAACGGTAATTAGCTGCTTAGTAACTGACTAGCCAATCATAACATTGTGGACAAAGTTTACACTTTATTTACGAATTAAGTAGAGGTAAATAAAAAAATAGATAAATGGCATTTTATGATATGAAATTTTTAACCCCACTCAAGTAAGAACCTTCGAGATTATCATTTACTTACACTAACTAGGACAGGACAGCGGTAAATTAACGATGCAAATAGAAAAATATAATTTATGCAGTTGTAATATTACTACTAACTGAAATTGCTAATGCACAAACAGATATTATGTAAGTACGAGTAGAAAATAAAAATATGATCACTTAAGACCTAGCTACCAATATTTCGCGCAGCTGAATGTCTCACTCACACTAATTCATGTTGGCACTATCAATATACACACATGTTAGTGAAATAAATATGCGACGACGGCACACAGCAATGTGAAAGTTGGTATGTTTCTAGCAGCAGAGTTTTTCTTGATGGACTGATCGGCGTAGGATTGCAGCAAGCCACAGGGCACTGCCTTCCTCATGTTTGTAGTCGGCGTATGCCTCATCACAAAGCATTGCATCCCCGGCGTTACTTGAATCTCCTTCCCTTTCACGTCAAGAGCATTTGTCACTGTCGTATTAGTCGTTGTTGTCGTCACGGTCATCGATGACGTCACGGTGCCGTTTGACGCGTCCGTACCATTAACAGCTGTCGTATTTACTGCACCGGGAAGAGTAACATTCACAGGAACAAGAGTACCATTCGCCAACATTTGGTACAAAACCGGTTGCGGAGTCGTAGTCTGCTGTTCCACCACGCCGTTTGTTATGTTCACTACAGTGACATTCGTGCTGGTGGTGACGACGGTCGAGTTAGTGCCTCCAGCCGGAGCTGTGGTACCTTGACTTTGCAGGATGAAACTAGTTATCAATTGACAGTCGATTCTGGTTTCCTCATAATCACCATTGTCTTTCTTCACGCCAAATTTACAATATTCACCTGGCTGTGGCTTGTAGCTGTTTGTTCCACTTGAATGCGAATTATGGTTCTGGCTAACTGCGTAAGCTGTAGCTCCAAGTGCGCCAAGGTTCAAAAGTGCCAAGCCAGCAAGTAAAGTACCGTATTTACTTCCTGAATTTTTGTATTGATACACGTAGGTCGGCGGAGCGCCATGGTAAACTGGATAAGAAACCGGTCGCTGTCCAGGGGCGGCGGCATAGCTGATTTGTTTCGGTGGCGCGTAGTTGTAGTTGTGGTTGATGGTGGTATGGGTGGTGTGCGTACCACCAGATATTCCTCTATTAGGATATTTATTGCTCTGGGAATGTCCCCCAGAGAGTCCACCACCGGAGGGGTATGAGTGTGATCCTGTTCCTGATTTTCCTCCCGAAGACGGATAGCTATGACTGCCTCCTGATCCTGATAGTCCTGATCCTGACGATGGATATCCATGACTGCCGCTTGATGATGGATAGCCGTGACTACCACCAGATGATGGATAGCTGTGGCTACCACCAGATGAGGGATAACTGTGGCTACCACCCGATGAAGGATAACTGTGGCTACCGCCCGACGATGGGTATCCGTGGCCTCCACCAGAAAGTCCGCCGGAATGCCTTGAGCCGCTTCCTGAGAGCCCAGAGTGTGAGCTTGGGTAAGAATGTCCTCCACCGCGACCGAATCCACCACTTCTACTTCCACCGAACTTTCCACCACTTATAGGTCCTAATGCAGCTAGCACTAGGAGTGCGCATAGCAGCGCACGAGTTAACTTTAACATTGTGTAATTATTTATTTACGGCGGCGCAGACGCGGTACGTCTCGGGCTCGCACACGCACGCAACTCAACTGAAGTCAGCTGCGGATCGCCGACGAAATGTCACAAAAAATTCACACGATGTTACTATCCTAAGAAAACCATTTTACCACTTTTTGTTATTATTTGTTTAGTTTTCTTACATAAAATTTAGTTATACATAGGATAATTACAGGCCAGATAGAGAATTTATTCGGTAATATTTATTAAATTGTTGATAAAGTATTGCTGACAGTACACATTTTTGTGATTTGGTCGTTGACATTTAGAACCATAGATTATTAAGAATGAGTTTTTTCCTCTACACGCTGACGAATTTACTATTGCTGATTTTTTAAAATTTGAAAGTGACGTATGATAAAACTTAATAGTATAAAATTATAGTAGTATCTGAACTATTCTGAACCATTTTTTTCCAGTGTGTCACTTAGGTAAGTACTAGTTACTTGTACCTACCACTTTCAGGGAATATTTTTTCGACTGAAAGCACTGTTATAAAATATACTTTTTTATCTATGTTAACCTGCATCGCCTTCAGATGGGAAAATACGTCAGCGTCAGCCGTCACCAGCACATTTTGCAAGGATTCTTCATGGTCATCATAGTAGTCTTATCTCTTTCTTTGAATATACAACAAACAGAGACGACCATTGTCTGCATGTTTACTCATAAAAAGACCACCAAGATGCGAACGCAGTGTCACCTAGCGGAAATTGATTGAACTAGTTGTTTTTACAATCTTGGCAATGTTGCATTACTATTCATATCTTTACCCGAAACCACTACATATTATAAAATAAATTATAAATTTATTGTAATGTAGTATGACTAGATAGATATATACGTAATAACTATGATTAAACTATTCTCCATTACACAGAATGTAATGTTATCTCATAAATAAATTATCTCGTATAAAAGTCTCCCTAAAGCAAAATAAAAGATCATTTACAGTGACTCGTGGCAGACACAAAGACTCGTGGTGAGCGGGGCCATAAGTAATTTTTGAAACAAAGAGGCACACTCGCCAATATTTTTAATTATTACAACAACGTTATGCCCATCATGCGTGACGTCACCCATAACCAGTGTGAGTGCGAGAGAAAACGTGATAGGTATTCTGACACTGTTTTATTATTAGGTACACACCGCCTGCCACGAGTCTTTGCGCCGAGTATAGTTAAGCCCAGCCGGAATTTTTATGTCTAACTAATCCATCCGACCTTCCTATCCACTAAAATGACTTGAAAAAAAGTGTAATGAAACGGTGATTTTGCATCTGATTTTTCCGGACTACGACGTCGTTCTTCTCCAACCATCTCTTAAAGTTGTTTGAAGAGCTCTCCATTTATCCTGATAGATTGTATGATAGACAAAATAGTATTTTCTCAAAAATAGTCAAATATAGAATCTACCCTATACCATTATCAAAATTACAAATGGTTAAGATGATGCCCCTTTGTTAATAATAATATTATAGCAATGAAATTCCAGTTCGGTTGTAAAGGCGGAAGAGCTGCCTCATTTGGCTTTTAGATTATTATCGTTGAAAAACACTCATTAGGGTTATGATTAGAAACTAATGAGGGACTTATCTTATCAGGCGGCCGAAGCGCGCACCCAGGACGATGCATTTCGGGTGCCTTTTAAAATGTTGTGCATTTCTATGCAATGAATCATATTTACTGCAATACTGACTACTCAGTAGACCCTAAGAGACTTCTTAGAGCTGTGATTAGATGTACAGACGACGGCACGTCAAGGTGTCACTCTGGGTCACTGTGGGATCTTATGCAGTCGTAATAGATGCGAATTTGGAACAAAAATGGGTAGTCTGATGTGCAGTCGTCTGTACATATTGAGAGAGCTGTGTTAATTCAGGAATTTGTAAAAATAAAAATAACAGTTTAAATTTTTGATCAGACGCTTTTTATTACATAATAATAATTGCTGTTATCTCAAACAGCTTGCAAACACAAAAATAGACGCAATGAAATACCAACTAAAGCTTCCAATAGTTCGCACAATAAATATCGTATCACTCACACTTATAATATAGATGTTGGCACTATTCACATAATGTATTAGTAAAATATGAGAGCAACGCCAGCTCACAGCATTGTATTTTTATTTAGCGGCTGAGTTTTTCTTGAGGGACTGATCGGCGTAGGATTGCAGCAAGTCACAGGGCACTGGCTTTTTCATGTATGAGGTCGGCGTGTGTCTCATGACAAAGCATTTCATCCCCGGCGTTACCTGAATCTCCTTCTCTTTCACGTCAACAGCATTCGTCACTGTTGTATTAGTCGTTGTTGTCGTTACGATTACCGATGACGCCACACTGCCATTCGACGCGTCCGTAGCATTAACAGCTGTTGTATTTTCTGCCTCGGGAAGAGTAACATTCACAGGAACAAGAGTACCATTCGCCAACATTTGGTACAAAACAAGCGGTTCCGGAGTCGTGGTCTTTTCCACTACACCGTTTGTTATGTTCACAACTGTGACATTCGTGCTGATGGTGACAACGGTCGTGTTAGTGCCACCAGCCGGTGCTGTCGGTTTTTGACTTTCTAATATAAAACTTGTTATCAATAGACAATCGATTTTGGTTTCGTCATAATCACCATTGTCTTTCCTCACGCCGAATTTACAGTATTCTCCAGCCTGTGGCTTATAGTTTGAACTAGCTCTTTCTCTCGAATCTCTTGAATCTTTGGCTGGTTTCTGGCTAGCGGCGGAAATGGTACGAGTAGCTGCAGCGGTTTGAGCTCCAAGATTCAAAAGCGCCAGGCCAGCAAGTAAAGTACCGTATTTACTTCCTGATTCTTTGTATTGATATACGTAGGTCGGCGGCGTTTCATGGTAAACTGGATAAGAAATCGGTCGTTGTCCAGGCTTTTCTACATAACTGATTTCTTTCGGTGGAGCGTAGTTGTAGATGCGGTTGATAGTGATATGCTTAGTATTCTTATTAACTGAAATTTCTTGCTTCTTTATATCGTTCCGTGTAGGTGGAGTTGTATGTCTTGGTTTTACTGTTGTCGAATATCTATGAGTTCCTGCTGATACATGACCCGCAGGTGCTTTAGGTGTGCTTGATGAACGTCCTCCAGAATGTTTGCCGCTAGGTGGAGTTGTATATCTGACACTTGATTTTACTGTTGTCGAAAATCCATGAGTTCCTGTTACTTTATGAGTGGTTGATTTTACTTTAACTGGAGGAGAATGAGAGTTATGATAACGTTCTGACATTATAAAATCGTGACTGCCACCTGGTGATGGACGCGAAGTTCTACTGGGACGATTTGAGATTCCAGGGCGTGGCTTGGTAGGTTGTCTTCCGCGACTTTTACTTGCACCAGACTTTCGACCACTTATAGGTCCCAATGCAGCTAACACTAGAAATGCGAAAAGCAACACACGAGTTAACTTCACCATTATGAAATTATTTATGTATAGCAACTGAGCAACGCGGACGCGGTACGACTTCGGTTCGCGTTTGAACGCAACTGAATTTAAAATAAGCTGCAGGTCACTGACGAAATGTCATAAACGCGCACTCCGTGTCATTATCTATCCTAAGATAACTAATGAATAATGAGTCACGTTTTGTTGTCCCTTTTCTATTCATCTATTACTCATTAGTTTAAGCATTTGATAATTACAAGCTAGATAATAATATTTGTGATATTATAGTAACGATGTATTTTCCGTCTTTAGTCAGTATGTACTTAGTAAAAATATATTAGTTAATGATTGTAAATAGTGAATAATACAGTATAGTTCCGTTTAAAATCTATTTTACAGTCATTCGTATTACTTTAATACAGAGTAATTTTGTAAACAATAAGAACTTATTAAACAATTTGGATAAATGAGATAAGATGAATAAGTTCTATAGAAAAAATTAACAATACTACTTTATTGTAATTATTTTTATCGTGGTATTTTTCTGAAATAAAAATATTGAAAATCTAATTCGCGGGTGCCCATATCTTAAGTTTTAAAGGTTAAGGCTTATTTTCGCGCACCATAATATCTATTAAGCTTAGCAGTTACTTGTGTGTACGTATTTTTCTATGAACGAAGTAAATGATCCATGTGTGCCAATTTTGAAACCGCGCGCAGCGGATAAAAATAATTAAATACAAAAAAATGATTTCTTTACGTACTTAAATCGATTAAGTTACTTATTCTGAGTCGCTCCTAAAAATTTGGATACTGATTACAAATTCTCTGTTTAAAATGCGTCAAAAAAATGTATTAAATTCTGATATAAATCTTTATTTAAATTTACAACCACTCAAAACTCTAGTAGTAGTGTAGTACTCAACTAATTTACCACTATCAGGGAATATTTTTTACGGCTGACAACACTGTTAAAGAAACAGAAAGTTTTGTTTATCATCTTGACGCATCGCCTTCAGATGGGAAAATACGTCAGCGTCACCCGTCACCAGCACATTGAAAGGATTCTTGCTAAGGTCGTCATAGTAGTCTATCTCTTTCTTTCTTTGAATTTAAGACCAACAACAAGCGCTGTCTATGTTTACTCATAGACAGACCACGTGCGTTTGCACAAAGTGTCATCTAGCGGAAATCGATAGAACTAGTTGTTATATTTACATTTTTTGGTAATGTTGGTACCTATAACTCTTTGTAAGGTTGCATAAACTTAAAAGACGTGCCAAAAACAAAAAATACCACTATTTTTTTTTATCAAAGTAAAAACTAATATTAAACTGGGTGGAATTTTGTAATGCCTCCTAAAGGGAAAGCACTGTTAATACTGTATACGTAGATACGAGTATACCTACATTTTTACTCATTGGAAACATTCCTTTATTTTTGAAAAGAAAGAGAAATTCATCCAAAGATTTCTGCCGTTAAACCACCATACCATACCAATTTTGTAAATAATTAAAATAATGTAACATTCATGGTTTTCCTTTCGTTTAATTTATCAAGTTTGTTAAAGAATTTCATTCTTATAATTAATCCTAACGATCGATACTATAAAAATACAGGGTGTAATTTTTCACAGATTTTACTCGGTTCGATTCCTGGGTAGGGCAAGCGAATTTTCGGAAATCTTTGAAAGCAGTTTTCGAAAATAAAGGAATGTTTTCTTTCAGTAAAATTTTCTATCTATCTACAGAATACTTTTCCCTGTTTACCTATTATTAGGTATCTATTTTACTTTAATGTAGTAGTAGTACTATTAGAATTATGATTAATTACTGTTTTCCCTTTAAGTATTTAGTCAAAGGTTCTGATTTCTGGGTTCATTGTTTGATTTTGGTTATATTGAGCCATTACAGACGCCTCTCACGCATAAAATTAACTTTTTTTTTTAATCAGTCTGCTGTTTTATTTATTTTTTGAACATAATGTCGCTTTTTATTTTAAAGACATTTTTGCCTTTAAGGTTTCGGATGACCATTAATAGTGGCCGCGCGCAATGTAACTGTGAAATTAATAAAGAAGATTGTTGTTCCTGGTAATAGTAAACTAATGTAAACATAAAAATAAGGTCATAAAGCCATACAGCGGCAAATGACCTTTTCAATTACGCGGCCAGTCCATTTTATGGCTAACGTTTTATGGTATTAATAATAATATTAATCCATCCTTACTACTGAATCAGGAGTACAAAAATAATTAATAGCCCGAAATAATTTAAAACAATTCACTAGTAATTATTTATTAAGCATCATTTATGCACGGAATAAATACAAAGAAAGAAAAAAAATATTTTTATTTAGTCCAAACATCCTTAGACTACTTAGAACATAGTTACATACATAAGTAATTAAATGACAATGACCAAAAATGTATGGAGTGTGGTCCAAATGTCCACTAACGAGACCTATGTAGTAAAATAGTCTACTAAATACTGATTCATTATAACCAAACCGCAATAAAAAATATGCTGTCAGTAAAAAGTTATGACTGAATGAAAAGTCTGTTTTTTACCTATTCATCCGAAAAATGTTCTTGATATCATTCTATCCATTGCACATTTTGGACTAATCTACGCATGTTATGTCATGACGCATGTGGCGCGGGGTTATAGATGAATTTTATTAAATATTAGCGGCCGCCCGCGACTTCGTACGCGTGGATCCCGTTTTGCCCCGTTCAACTATCTTACGCGGTTTAGATTTTTTCATACAAATGTTTTTTCCCGCTAACTCCGGTTCCCGTGGGAATTTTGCAATATCCTGTTGTAACTAAGCTTTAAGTTTACTAAGGGACCTGCATGCCAAATTTCAAGCGTCTAACTTTAGCGGTTTAGATTTTTCATACAAACGGATTTTCCCGGTAATTCCCGTTTCCGTGAAAATTTCGGGAATTCCTTTCTTAGTGCACCTCTATGGTACCTAAGCTACGTCCCTTCCAAATTTCAAGTGCCTACGTTTAGCCGTTTAGGCTGTGCGCTGATATGTCAGTGAGTCAGTCATACAAAAGGATTTTCCCGCCAATTCCCGTTCTCGTGGGAATTTTTCAATATCCTGTTGTAACTACCTAAGCTTTAAGTTTACTAAGGTACCTGCATGCCAAATTTCAAGCGTCTAACTTACGCGGTTTAGATTTTTTCATACAAATGTTTTTTCCCGCTAACTCCCGTTCACGTGGGAATTTTGCAATATCCTGTTCTAACTAAGCTTTAAGTTTACTAAGGTACCTGCATGCCAAATTTCAAGCGTCTATCTTATGCGGTTTAGATTTTTTCATACAAATGTTATTTCCCGCTAACTCCCGTTCCCGTGAGAATTTTGCAATATTCTGTTGTAACTAAGCTTTAAGTTTACTAAGGTACCTACAAGCCAAATTTCAAGCGTCTAACTTAAGCGGTTTAGATTTTTCATACAAAAGGATTTTCCCGCTAATTTCTGTTCCCGTGGGAATTTCAGAAATTCCTTGTTGTAACTAAGCTTTAAGTTTACTAAGGTACCTACATGCCAAATTTCAAGCGTCTAACTTAAGCGGTTTAGATTTTTCATACAAAAGGATTTTCCCGCTAATTCCTGTTCCCGTGGGAATTCTTAAGTATACTATAACCTGCCCATGAGTATGAAGAATGATTGTACCAAGTTTCGTTAAAATCCGTCGAGTAGTTTTTGTTTCTATAAGGAACATACAGACGGACAGACAGACAGACAGACAGACAGACAGACAAAAATTTTACTGATTGCATTTTTGGCATCAGTATCGATCACTAATCACCCCCTGATAGTTATTTTGAAAATATATTTCATGTACAGAATTGACCTCTCTACAGATTTATTATAAGTATAGAAGATTAGTGGTGGACATTTGGACCACTTTTGGTCATTGTCCTTTGAACCAAATAACACGAGTAGGTATGTTTATTACAAATATATTTATTTGAAGATCTTATAAGTAAGTAGTAAAAGTATTCCTCACAATAAAAATATATTATATATAACAATTATGGTATAATTTATTTTAGGTATTTATTTTATACGGCAGTTCATTAGCAATAGCTTTTTCCTTAAGTAACCATTCTTTGTTTGTCAAAAAATACCATGACATGATGACGTAGTTTATTCCTTAGGGAAATCGCTTTCCCGGGATAAAACAGAACATAATTATAACATTCGTTAATAGTAAATTCCAAGAATTACTTTTACACAAAATCAACTAATGTGCTACAAATATTTCATTACCACATTCATCTTCAAATGAGTCTAATGCTTATTTATCTATTTACTTCACTATCTTCATTTATTTGCACATAAATATGATTATTAAAATTAAATCACATTTAATTAGAATCAGAATACTTATAAAGGACAAATTTAAAAAAGTCAAAGCGATAAATTCAGGATATAGTATTATGGCACTTTATTATACCCCAGTAGAACCAATTAAACTATTCAAACAAATTAACTGAACTACCAAAAATTCAGGCATTCCACTATTGTGTGTTTTAAATACATAATTTTTGTACAACATTTTCCTTGTAGATAAACATAAGTAATAACTAGATACAATTATTTACCTAATACTCGTAATAATAAATCGATATCTTTGAGTTAATCTGCAAGTTTTAATTGTCAATATTTGTATTTATTACTGACAGAAATATCAATATCAAACGAATGAAATAGATGTTATTTTAACACTAGTCAACCAGCTATGATTAAAGCCGTCCACCATGGGGGGTTTTTTAGCCAGGATTTCAGCGTACCCCTTGAGGGAACCAAAGAACTATCTTGTTTATTTGGTTCGCGCAACTTCGCATAAAATAACAACTTCTGACAATCCACTTTATTCTGCAGCACAGCGTCACTTGTAATTATCTCTACTGTACACTCCATACCTGTAGTATTAGTGATTGCTTGTCCTTTAACGGTTAAGGGATCGGTTGCATTAACAACAGTCGTGCAAGTTGTAGCGTTTACTGTTTGCGAAACATTGGTTAAATTCTGCTTAGTTGGAAGTACTTTAGTAACTGAAGTTAAAGGCTTAACAGTCGTTGTAATTGGAGCTACAGGCTTGATAGGTTGAACTAGTAATAGGTCCTCGCTAGAAACATTAGCGTTTGTTTCATTAAATATTGTAACTTTATTATTTAATGTAACGTTCTTTGTTATATTTTCCGTAATATTTTGCAAATTAACATTTGAAGTTCTATTAGATACCTTTGTTTTTATCCACGTCGCATTATTATTTACGTTGTTGTTTTCCACCATGATATTGGTCACACATACCGTTGTGTTTACTGTGCTCTGTGTTTTAACTTTTGTACTGCCTTCAGTAAATGTAGAAACTATTTCACATGGTATCTTCAACGTTTCAATATGATTGTGTTCTTTAATTTTTAACGTGCATATAGCAGATTCCTTTGGCTTGTTGTAAAAGTTAAGCTCGTCTCTGGAATGTTGATATCTTCGATTGTAGTAGTCATCGTAATAATAGTGATCATGATAATTTATATGAGTACGTCCTAAGTTATATAAAGTCAATCCAGTTAGAAGGTTTTCGTAGCGACTGCCAGAGTTTCTGTATTCAGTTACATAAACGCGTTGGGGATATGTAGAATAAGTCGGTGGGTTATAGGTTCCCTGATATGTACCTCCATGCCTATGACTTGAATGTGTGTCATGTATGTGAGTACGACGATGATCGGTGTTAAATCCTTCATTATTCTGATTTCCATATCCAGAGTTGGTACCGGTATTTAAAATACTTCTAAAAGGTTTCACTGTTGTTGTTGTTGTTGAAGATGGGTAAATATTTTTTCTCAATAATCCTGAAGAAGACAACTGTGGGTAGCTGACTTTTGAACCTGACCCCGAGAGGCCAGTTATTGAAAGAGGATACTTCGATCCCGTGCCCGATAATCCTGTAAATGACGATGGGTAACTGGGTTTTGAACCTGACCCTGAGAGGCCAGTTATTGAAGGTGGATACTTCGATCCGGTGTCTGATAATCCAGTAAATGATGTTGAGTAACTGGGTTTTGAACCTGACCCTGAGAGGCCAGTTATTGAAGGTGGATACTTCGATCCAGTGCCTGATAATCCTGTAAATGACGTTGGGTAACTGGGTTTTGTACCTGACCCTGAGAGGCCAGTTATTGAAGGTGGATACTTTGATCCGGTGCCTGATAAGCCTGTAGATGACGTTGGGTAGCTGGGTTTTGACCCTGATCCAGAAAGGCCGGTAATTGAAGGTGGATATTTTGCTCCAGTGCCTGATAATCCTGAAGACGAATGTGGGTAATTGGGTTTGGACCCTGGTCCTAATAGTCCAGAACTTGAAAGTGGATAGTTATATCCTGAAGACGATGGCAGATTGCTGGGCTTAGATCCAAATCCAAACCATTTTGAAAGAAACGATGGACTGCTGGGCTTAGATCCTGATCCCGATAGTCCTGTTGATGACCAGGGGTACGTGTTTGGACTGGAACCAGATGAAAGCCCACCCCATAAACTGCTTGATGGTGGGTCGCTGAGTTTTGATCTAGAACCAAGATATCCTGAAGATAACGACGAATCACTGGGCTTTGATCCTGACCCCGATAGTCCTGTTGATGACCAGGGGTACTTGTTTAGACTAGAACCAGATGAATGCCCACCCCATGACCCACTGTTGCCACTACTTGATCCCCACTTTGAGCCACTGCTGCCACTAGGGCTGTAACCTGATGAATGGCCGCCCCACGACCCGCTGCTTCCACTGCCTGAGCCCCACTTTGAACCACTGCTACTTCCTGAACCACTGGACCCCCACTTGTAGCCGCTGCTTCCACTACCGTGGGAACGGCTGCCGCTACTTCGAGAACGGCTGCCTACTCCACTAGAACGCCCCCCACCACGTCTTTTGCTTCGGCCACAGTCCACAAAGTTCACTGCCAATAGTGCAACTAGGAATAGGCACAACAGAATTTTTCTGTTGACCATTTCGCGTAAACAAAACTGTCTGCGCGCAAAGAAATACACTTCTGCGTCCGAACTAAACGCGGAATGATTATTATTTCAACTTTGTCAACTGGGAGCTGTTGACGTAAGCGTAATATTCTGGGAACGTATACATTAATTAAAGCTGCCTATGGTATTTATACCAGTAGTCACTGATAAGCGTAAATTCATGTCAACAAACTACAATTGACCGCGTGAATTTGTCTTAATAGTTTATATCACTGTGGTTGGGATATACCTACCTAGGTATTTTAACCGAAATCATTATGACATGTTTGTAATATGACTAATACTTTTTCTTAGAAAATTATACGGTTATAACCAGCGGTAATGCTTTAATAATTTTGTTAATGATATTAAATATTACTTATCTCAACACTTATCAGTAGTGATGGGCCGACTATGGCCTTTGCCGACTAACCGACTAGCCGACTAATCGGTTTTCAAATTGCCGACTAGTCGGCCGACTAATCGGCAATGCCGATCATTCCTACTTGTCCAAAGAATAATATCTAGATTTCTCAAAGAAATAAGAATATCTAGATTTCTAAAGAGATAAATATAACTTCTTGAGAAATGAGATTTATTAATTAATATGAGAAAAAATAAAAAGCAATATTACAATCACCTAACAGTACCTAAAGTAGATGTCATAATTTTTGACGGAGGAGGGGTCAGAGGAAGTGACAATATGATCGCCTCCTGCTGGGTTAAGATGCGCTCCGTGATATTATTTTTACTTATCGACGTCAAATGGGCAAAATTGCGCTTATCGCGGCACGCATGCTAGGCCCACTGATTCCTCTCCCTCCACCCTCCACGGTGAGATGGTCAGCGAGCTCGGGGCGTGGGGGTACCCCCTGCATAGCACGGACTACCACCACCGTCGGATAGGCAAAGCTCGCCATACAGGGACTGTGATAGTTGATAGCTTTGTCAGGATTCCCATAGTTCTTCACACTAAGGCGATCGACGGAGCTCAGGGGCTATTATTTATGTAGGTATTCCTCATCCTTCCGATGAGAGGAGCCCCACATAATCTACCACTTCCCCGCAGGACAGGTATGCAATTCCATGCATATTTTCCCCGAAAAAAAATGTTATAATTTTTATATGGACAAATTACACATTTTTGACGACTTCCTGGTAATTTTAACTAATCTTAACTTTGTATGAAATTAGACTGCCAAAATATTAAATCTGGTGAAACCTCTTTTTCCTGATTTTTTGCAGTCAGCCCTTGGTCTACCTCATATCATCTTGGTGATTATGAGTTTCATTTCATTCACATATTTAATTTTGTAATGCGCCGATTATAATCGGCATATTTTGCCGAATAGTCGTCACTAGTCGGCCGACTACAAATGATGCCGAATAGTCGGCTTTCCCGACTAGTCGGCGACTAGTCGGCCCATCTCTACTTATCAGCCATTCGACAAGACAAAATATTTTCAATAGACAACAAGAGTATTTTTTTGGTCATATTATTTTCGATTATTCCATGGGCGTGTGCATTAGAACTAATGAGCTACCAATAAACCTATGTAGTGTATTACTATTTAGATCTCTAGCGATTTATCCTCTAGATTTTTATCACGCATGCCTTTACGGCAGCTAAAAGTCGAATGGAAAATTCACTAATGTTCACTCTAGCATTCAATATCTTAGTTTTTACATTTCCAAAGCTTTAAAGACGCAAGTAAGTTACAGGAACTAAAAAATATTAAAATTGCTGAAAATAATTATATTATTTTATCTTAAATGTCGAGTGGCACTGAATAAAATAATTAAGACCTTAAATATTCAACCCTCAGCCAATGTAACGAAGACCAAAGGCAATCACGCGACTCCATTTAGCAACACATAACAATGAGTTGTAAAACTTGTAAATTGCAATCTAATAATCTCTTCAACCTGTAATCATTCACGAAGTCAGCCTCGCTATTCTTCCACGCTTTTTGTCGCAACTGTCGCATTTCGTTAGTTCCAATCATGCGGTCGCCAAAGCACCACACTTAAAATGTTACTCGGTGTGCTAATAACAATATTCAGTGAAGTGTACAGCAGTGAAGTGATAAAAGATGCGAAGCCGTGCTCTTTCCCGATACCATTGGATATGCCGAACCGAAACGATCGCTCCGATCAGTGCTGGTTGAGGATCGAAGATGAGGAGCTGGTGGAGACTGTGACATTGTTCTGTTACATCGCTCACGGTTTCCTAAGGAACTACATTCACGATTACAATTCGAGGAAGATGATTGAGGATGGTGTCGACGTGAGCCTCTGGAGCGAGGAGCCGCGATCTCAAGACGATGTCGTGCCGAAACCGATGACCGACCCGAAAGGAATCAAAGACTGGAAGCTGACCACTGTATTGGACCCTATCACGCGTATGAGGCTCTATGTGAGCAAGAAAGCAGATTGTAAGATAGTGATGTACAGTCGAGAGGGGATGAGCAATTACAAAGTTAATTGTGAAAGAGTTCTGTACTACGTAAATGAAAGAATGCAAGGTAGCGCTGTTATACCCCGTGTGCACATCGGCTTGATATGCATTAGTATTTTCCTTGTAGTTAGCATGTGATCATCACATCTGGGGGCACGGCAGTGCCCCCACCAAGTCGAGCAAAAAAGCGGCACGGCCGTACCATCCTTTTCTCGAAGCAATTCAGGCCATTTTCGACCGCCTGTAACTTCGTTGTGGATAAAACTAGAAGGCTGAATTTTCATTAGCTATGCAGGCATTGTAAAGACACGGTATATTTAAAATTTCATTCAATTTGAACCAGTAGTTTAAGAATTATAACGGGTCAAAGTTACTTAATTTTGTCACTCACTGACTGACTCACTGACTCACTGACTCACTCACTGACTCACCGATCATCAAAACTCTAAGGCACTTCTAGCAGACCTAGAAGCTTCAAATTTGGAATATAAGTAGTGTTTGGTGTATGAATCAAGGAAAAACTAAAATATTTGGGGGCACGGTAGTGCAACCGCCAAGTCGAGTAAAATTTTTCAATTTCGGTCCAGTTTTCTAGATACATAACTGCTGTCTACAAAATACAAAAAGAAATGAGATCCCATCAAAAACAATACTTGTCAAAAAAACCAAGTCTCGCAACTCAGTTGTTCTACGGTAAAAAGTTGTGAGATCCATGTAATACCAAGTCCAGGCCAGGAAATCTTTAACGTTTTACATAAATATATTGACTTGGCCATCGCATGAAAACACGTGTAAATTAAATTATTTAGTGCGATGGCCAAGTCAATAATTTATGTAAAACGTTAAAGATTTCCTGGCCTGGACTTGGTATTACATGGATCTCACAACTTTTTACCGTAGAACAACTGAGTTGCGAGACTTGGTTTTTTTGACAAGTATTGTTTTTGATGGGATACTTAATTTTATCGTCAATTGTTCATAAGCGACCTTATAATTGTTATGATATGGCCTTCCCGTTCTGAGGGAGGAAAATGTTGCCAGTGCAGTGTACAACGGTTGCAATCAATTAACTATAAATTAAATTAATTGGATTGTAGTTTGATACTGTTAATGAATATTGATAACTTATTTATTAATTAAAGTAATTTGACCTTTAATCGTTTCTGTTCGTTTGACATTGCTCATTATTATAGATCCAATATCAATTGAGTAAAGAACTATTGTTGACTTCATTTCGAAGAACAAATGGACAAAGAACAGATCCACTGCAGTGAAGGTCAGGTAGACAATAAATTAGTTCCAATTACGGATCATTCATTCGCGCACAATTGAAATCGAACGTGTATATTCCAGACATTGTAAAAACTCTTAAGGTTCGGACAAACCAACGCGTGCAGCGATGGCAATGGCGATGACGACCACTGCGCGTGCAAAAGTTGTTTCACACTGCCGCGACCGCGATGGCGATCACTGCGCGTGCAGGTTGTCACTGTCACCACAACTGTCACGCATATTGTCAATCACGCCTATTCGGCAAAATGGAAACTGAATTACGTATATGATTTGTTTGGAGCTTTTGATGCAATTGAGACAGTGGAAACACTTTTTCACTCAAGTTTATTCAGGCGGCCATATATTATTGAGACAGGATTACCTACATGCGGTATAGGTAGTAGGTATTGGTTACTCATAACCAAGCTATATTTCTGGCTTCGTTTGTAGTCCCTAGAGCCCTGACAATACCTTTTCATTAGATTTAAAGAAAGGTTTGATAGGAAGGAGGACTGCACTAAGGCTTTCTTGGCCTCAGTGGGGGAAATGAAACACAACGCGGACGGTTGATANTTTTAACACTAGTGTACATTCACAAACAAAATATACTCCATATGAACTTGTTTTTGGCAAAGTTTGTAATTTACCAAGTAACTTATCAGAGCATGTAGATCCATTATACAATTTTGATGACTATCCCAAGGAACTTAAATATCGTTTACAAAAAGCTCAACAAGATGCTAGGCAAAATTTGTTACATTGTAAAGATATTAGAAAAATTAAATATGATCAAAACAGTTGTAATTTTAAATATAAACCAGGAGACTTATTATTAGTAAAAAATCAAGTAGGCAATAAATTAGATTGTGTTTATAAAGGTCCTTATAAAGTAATACAAGACATTTCGCCAAATGTAAAAATACTTAAAGATAATAAGGAAATTGTTATTCATAAGAATAATACTAAGTTGTTTAATAACTAAAAAAAAAGTTTGTTTTATTATTATGATGTGTTATGTGTTATGTATTGTGATTATAACATTGTCATGTATAATTTTAATAAATAGTTATTGTACTTACTTATCAATAGACTACTTATGTATGTAAAGCTCAATGATACGTGGCCAAACCTTTTTTTTTCTTGCAAAGGGGAGGCACCTACCCTTTACTTTTCGGGGGAGGTGAAGTATGTAAATTGCTTACTTTACAAATAGCATCCAATTCCCGTAAACCGGTCACGCGCACGTATCGTTCTGCTGACTTAGGGTTTTAGCAAACTACGAACATTGTAATCATGTGAATTTTAAAACATTCAATATAGAGACACCGTACATCAAACATGTGTTTCACTTAATTTCTACTGCCGTCTTCTACACCCTAAACCTAACACTACATTGAAGAAGCAGGTTCTCGAGAAAACTAGAATAATTTGTTTATTACATAAAAATAAATTCTGATATTGATACTTTATTCTAAAACCTTTTTTATTATTCAAGTAGGTCAGACTAGTGGTATGTTATGAATAATTCATTTTTAATTGTGTAAAAACTTTTTAACAGATCCTACTTACTATTTATTACATCGATTTTAAAAAACAGAAACGTCACAGTAACTGTAGCGGTAAGCAAAACTCTTTGCGCCGGGTATAGGCTACGGCGGTTGCGATGGTAACCGGGTTGTTGATGTCAGGAGAACGTCAGGTACTTAAAAGGGGTGATAAAACGATAAGTCTTGATGTCGGCACGAGGAATGTTTCTGTAAGCTTGGATAGGGTTAAGCCCGCTTTTATTGATGTCGATCCATCTGCGATTGCATCATCCACGCGGGTGTCTGTAGCATCTCCATCTTCGTCACCACCGTCATCGCCTCATTCATCACAACCCGCCGCAATTGTGCCTCCTCTACCAATCACGAAGGCTTATACCACTCGGTCAGGCCGTAGGGTGAGGTTTAAAGTCCCCGCAGTTTCATAAGTTTTTTTTTTCTTTCTTATGGTGGATCCAAGTTTTTTTTAGTTAGTTTTTTTTTTTTGCCATGGGCTATCTTTCTTCGTGGGGGGGTAGTGTAGCGGTAAGCAAAACTCTTTGCGCCGGGTATAGGCTACGGCGGTTGCGATGGTAACCGGGTTGTTGATGTCAGGAGAACGTCAGGTAGTAAAATAGGAGATTTTACAATATATTATATTTTATTCAAAAGTGACTACGTGAGTTTCCATAAGCCACGTACCCTTTAGTAACCAATGTCGCGATGATCGCTGATCGCTGCGTGCAGACGCTGCATAGATCGCCGCGACCAATGACAGGACGCGTTGATGTGAACACATCGCTACAAATTCATACACGCTGTCTGGTCGCCATCGCCATCGTCATCGTGCACGCCGGCTGCACGCGTTGGTCTGGTCTAACCTTTATTATTTATACATATATTTTTCATCAATTTCTTCATCATCTTTATTTTTAGAATGGGAATCCCAACAAAAAATGTTAATAGTTTAACTTAATTGAAGCTCGTTTATGATATTAATGATGTACAATAATTTAAATATTTCTATGTTCGACTGTAGTCTGACAACGGACAGTTAAATATGACATTCACAAAATATGGAAAATATGTAAAAGTTTGTAAACAAAATTAATCGCTGTCTAGAAGAAACCAGGTTTTACCATTAATTCTTAACGTTTGACTAAGATTGTTAAGATAATTAAGATATTATTGTAGATAAACAGATCTCGTAAAGTCCATCCAAACAAAATATTATAGAAACGAACGTCTAACTTATAGGTAAGTTAGCTCACACGATTTTGACAAAAACAACGCAATTAAACGTTTAAGTTAAAATGCAAAAATTTTATTTTCTCTTCATGTTAGTAGATAATATGTACCTAAATGAAAATTGTATGCAACTAACTAACGATACGGGCAGAGCTATCTTACATTTTATAACTATTTTATTGTTAAACCATTAATGACAGCAATTAAAACCCAATCGCCATGACATAATCACGTTTACACATATTGTAACTGTGACATATTGACTGAACAACATTGAAATAAACATAAGTAACCATTAATAATCTTTTCATCTAGTTAAAGTCGTGAAACCAGATTATGTTTTAATCTAGACTTGCTCTGGAAGTTTTAATTTTATTTGGACAGGAAAAATCTGCATTTCAAACTAAGTACAAAATAATGTAAACATTATAGTGCTACCCGTATAGGTAGTACCTACAAGAGGTGGAAAAAGTCCCTACAGTTGTCACCTATATGTACCTAGTTTGAAGAAGATAATATGGGTAAGAATATATTTGTCAGAATTTGGTTTTGTGTAAGTTGTTTAACTCAATTTGTTACTAAAAGAGGTTTTAATTTCTTTGCTATCGTTTTTGTACACATTTTCCTTTAAAACGTTTGTCTTAAAATGAAATCTTAGGGATTTTCCAATGCTGCAATTATTTTAAGACTTCGTTATTCGTTCGACGTTCGCCTTTTCATTTGGAAAAGATAGAAATCTACCTAAAGCAACAAGTTAAACTACAAATATATGTAGGTACTGTGACTAATGCTAAAGTTATCAGAATCAATAAATTACATAATTGCATATAAAGTGGCTTTCATCTTCGTTAAGCGATCCTCTGCATCTCCGAATCAATTATTTATTTAATCAACTTAGTAGCACAGCTGTAGATGGTACTAATAATAATGTAGACTAGTTGTTTCTACATATTGTATGCTCTTAGAAGCAACTTGGAATTGTTTATTAGGAACTCTACCTACTCGTAGATACAAAATATAGACACACATTATAGTCTTTTGTTTTTCGAATTATAACGTGGAAGAAAATGCAACAATTTATTAACTTACTGTCATCTTCAAACAATAAAATAAATAAACAATGAAATCTTTGATTTGTATTTTAACAAAATAAACCACTGGCGGTTTTTAACCACAATGTTTAAAATCTATGTATATGAGCTCAGAGTTTGAGTATCCTTAAATGACGAAACATAATAATAATATGATAAATAAATTGGCCAAATTCCATGAATTAATGTATTTTCGTATAAGGAAGCAACTGTAAAATAAACAAATAATTTAAGTCATATTTTCCAAAACAGAACATGGAAAAACCCAAGTAGAATCGAGTACAACAAGGAAACTAAGGCTAGGCTCATCAAACTATCAAAAGCATTACCTTAATTGCTGTAAGCGATAGAATCTGTACTTTCTGAGGCATATTGTTGAATATACTTCAAATTTATTTTCGTAATTAACATAATTAACAAAATAACAGCTTGTGTACCATCTCTACAACTCTGCAGATATTGCACGAGTCGGATAGTAAGTACGTATATTCATCCTGCTGAATAGTACACAAGACATCGTGTGGTAGACCAATCGACTCAACTATCCACCACCTTCCTACCTGCCTTATTACGTTGCTGCTATGGGCAAATAAGGCACAGTTCTCTCTCCACCAGACGTGTGAGGCAGCGAGAGCTATGATTACTTTAGATAATTTAATTTGGCCTTACAAATCACTGATCAATTAGGTTGACTAATCAAGCTTGTAATGACTTTTATATATTTTTCAATTTTCATTTCAGAGCCCGCTAGCTTTTAAACAAAATCTCAAAGACACTTTAAATAAGTTATACGGTTTTTTTCGCTTCGGTTTGTTACCAAACAAAAAGCCAAATCACGTTGAACGGGTTGGCAACAGAGTTTTTTTTTTAAAGATTATATCAATTATTATTTTGACATTGTTATATGATAATTCCCAAGCGTTAAACAGGTGGTTGTGAACACACAAAATCGTCTAGACAACTAAATAATAGCGAGTAGTAATGACAGTAATTGAAAACCAAATCGTATGAACCATGAAGTCAATCGA